AGTACTGCATAACGCATAAAGTGGCTACTCCCTATCACCCACAGACTTCGGGCCAGGCGGAGACAAGCAACAAGCAGATAAAGACACCTTGAGAAGACGGTAAACTCATCTCGAAAAGATTGGTCAAGCCGGCTCGATGATGCACTGTGGGCCCAAAGGACAGCGTTCAAAGGAGTATTGGGGATGAGCCCATTCAGGCTTGTCTACGGGAAATCATGCCATTTGCCAGTGGAGATAGAACATAAGGCCTTTTGGGCTATAAAGAAGATGAATTTTGATCTTGGGACTGCCGGAAGTGCGAGAATGTTGCAACTATCAGAGCTTGAGGAGCTGAGGAACGAGACGTACGACAACTCTAAAATTTACAAAGACAAGGTAAAAAGGCTTCATGACTCGATCATTGTCCGGAAAAGCCTCGTGCCCGGTATGAAGGTGCTTCTGTTCAATTCACGCCTTCGACTTTTTCTGGGAAAGCTTAAGTCTCGTTGGAGCGGACCCTACATCATTGATGAGGTACTATCACTTGGGGTCGTCCGACTTCGCAATCCCGCGAATGGAGAGCTATTTGTTGTGAATGGACAGAGAGTGAAACCATACTTCGAAGGAGAATTTGGAAAGCACCACATCGAGACCATCAGTCTCGGTGATCCACCGTATCCTTGAGCGAAAAGTGTGCCGAGCTCGCGGTAATAAACCGAGCAATTTTATGTACTATTTGTCTATATATATTTATTTATTTCCTTAAAAAAAAATCGAAAAATTCGAATTTTGGGCGCAGGTTCCAGGTGTCGCGCCGCGTCCGTCATCACGCCGCGAGGAAGATTACAGAGAGTTTGAGCAACCAACATCGTCGCGCCGCGGCAAGGCAACTCATCGCGCCGCGGCTGTGCACCGCGCCGCGGCTGTGCACCGCGCCGCGAGGACGAGTACAGAGAGTTTGAGCAACCAACATCGTCGCGCCGCGGCAGTGCCTCGCGCCGCGGCGCCCAACAGTAATAAAAAAAAAACGAGACGCGACGGGCTGCCCTATTATTTCTCTCGCGCGATTTCAGCTGCACACATAAAAAAAAGCACGAAAACCCTCGCTGCCATCGTCTTCAACTTTCATCTTCATTCACTCCCAGCCATCAACTCCCGTCCAAGCTCTGACCTCCGGCCAACGCAGTCATCTCCGAGCACGCAACTTCCAGCGACCCTCCGTTTCCGGCCAACTCGTTTCTACTCCCACCAGGACCCAAATTTTTCCGGCACAATTCCCTACAAATCGGTGGTCTTCTACGCTTCAAGGTACGGAATTCATCTAATATCGTGGAAAGTTAACTGAGGTGTTGAAATCGGGCATAGCATCTTTGAAGGATTTCAAGCTCTCTAAAGGAACATTTCTGCACAAGAGGTGTTCGACATATTGTCGCAACAAGGCTGGACAACAATTCGATTCATATTCGCCCGTTTATCTCCAACACTGTCACAAACCGAGTATGGTGAGGACCAAGAACACATCGAAACCTCCTCCCAAGAACAGGGGCAAGGGCAGGGCCGTTACTCCACCCGAGTCTTTGGACAACTCGGATTCTAATTTGAATTCTACCTCGAACTCTAGCTCACACCACTCGGCATCTAACGCGGGGAATGAGACTCGTACTCTGGCCCAAATTCATGGTATCCCGTTTCCGGTTTTCAACGACTCGGAAGTAGCTGCGTACAAGCGACTCGCCGCACGACCTATACCGCATCCCCGAGTTCTCGATTGGAATTTTCTGAAGAAACTTAACATCGAAGAAGAGGTCCAGAAGCACTTGAAGGTCTTGCACTTGGAGAAATATGCAGAACTCCAGAATCTCACTTCCTTCCGGACTCTCACCCTCGAGTGTTTCAGCACGATTGAGATGCATGATAACGGCAGTTACCTCACTTGTCGTTTGAACGGGCAGGAGGTCAAGATCACGGATAAGGTGCTTAGCCAAATTTATGGTGTGAAAGTAACGGGGGTCCGCCAGAAACCCGGGACGTCCCAGGCCGACAAGCTTTGGGCCAATTTATCACCGTGCAAAACTTTCAACAAGAAAGGACCGTCGGCCGGTCTAATCAAAGAATTGCCTGTCGCGGTTGTGCATAAGTTCCTTTCTTACAACATCTTTGGGAAGAAGGAAGCGAATAAAGTGAGCGAACAGGAGGTGTTCGTGATGTGGAACATGTGCAACAAGAAACCGGTGTGTCTTCTCCCATTCCTCAAACAAGCTCTCATGAACACACGCCGAAATACTTTGAGCTTCCCTACATTGGGGCATGTTGTGGCGGATATCGCTGATTACTTCAAAATTCCAGCCTCTACTGAGGAGGGTCCCGGTCCTCAGGCCATCGGCTTCGGCGAACTCAAGGCTGGGGGTTTTGTGGACAAAATGGGTCAGATCACGCAATATATCGAACGCAAGTGCTATGAAACTTACACGAAGGAGATGACGCGATTGGCTCAGGTAACTGCTTTGTCGCAGCAGGTTGCAGGAGGCCCTTCTCAACCAATGGCAGACGAGCATGATGAGCCGGTCGACCATGCCTCGGGTGACGAGGAAGAGGTCACCCAGATGGATTATCAGCAAGCCCCTGCGTGGTTTGTTCAGTACCAGAAAGAACAAGCCGAGTATCAGGCCCGACAAGAGGC